CACGACAGTTGCCTTCTTCCTCCTTAGATTGTCTCCTAAATATTTGTAATAAATATAGTCTGATTACGTAAGACTAACTTCACAAAATGATATAGGTAACTTTGTTCCTACGTGTCACAATTAGTGCATGCCTTTTATTGAGACAAGTAGTTGAGACAAAATTTGTAATGTATGATTACTACTTAGATTTCACTTGTTAGTCGCAAATACTTCATATAGATATTCAGGGTGTGTTTGAACCACATTATTTTAGAAGAATGTATACTGAATAGTAGATTGATGGAAAATGTGTGGTTGAAAAAGAAGGAAATGTTATTGATGTGATGAAAAATATTATTTTATTGAAAAATGTGTGGTTGAAAATGAGTAGAAGAATGAAAAGAAAAATTTTAATGAATGTCAAACATGGCTTAATATAATTTTTTTTGGTACGCTAATCGCGAAATAAACGTGGATCAAAACATTACTTTTTATAGGGGTGTTTTTGAACCACATTATTTTGGAAGAATGTATTTTGGAATAGTAGATTGATGGAGAATGTGTGGTTGAAAAAGAAGGAAATGTTATTGATGTGATGAAAAATATTATTTTATTGAAGAATGTGTGGTTGAAAATGAGTAGAAAAATAAGAATGAAAATTTTAATGTATACCAAACAGGGGTTCAACAAATACGAAATCATTACTTATATCAATAGCTCATAACATCGGATCAACCATAAACAAATTATCATTTCATTTGGTTAAATGATTGTGTTGTACATTATGATCTTGGCACCGAATCGCCATCTTCGTTTTTTCTTTTGAATTTTAATCTCGAGAAAAAAATAATGTATTTGTCTCTGAAATGGAATATTTAATTTCTTAGTGGCAACCTTTGACTGCTTATTTCCCCTCTTCCATTAAAAGAGGGAACCCTCCATTCACTATTCATTTTAGACGTATTTCTGTCTTCCAATTTTATCCCTCTACTGTTCAGCAAGAACCAAAACGCTTGGAGTTAAAAAATGTAGGCGGCAGAAAT